AAATCATCCCATACCTTCAGGAAAATAACTAAAAGTCTGGACCAAAATCATCCCATACCTTCAAGAAAATAACTAAAAGTCTGGACCAAAATCATCCCAGAGAGATGTCAGGAATCTGACAGGAAACTGGGACCCTACACATAGCCACTGTTAGCTAAGAAAAAGCTTCACCTTTACTGGCAGCAGCTCAAAAAGACTTTTTACTGTCTATAGCACTCCTCCTACTCAGAGCCATCAGGTGGAAGAAGCTGTGACAGGTCAGATAGAATTGCAAGACCTATTCTTGAAGCAAACTCTGTATCAATAACACCCAAAATTCTACATGGCCAACAGCACCCACCGTGTCCTTCCCCTCACAACTGACACTGCTGCACCTCTTTTGTGGCAGCAGAGCTGTGTGTTCTGCTCAGCTCTTCACAAGAGCTTGGTAAGCAAGTGTTGCAAGCCCTTATGGCTTTGTGATGTGCCTGTGTAGCTGCTTTGCTTTCCATTTCCTCTGCTGTGTGCCAGCTTACAGAAACACTTCCAAGCAGCACATTCAGAAATAGAAAGAGTTCAAGGCCAGGTTTCACACCTGCAACCTTGCAGCTCTGGGCTCTTCCAGCCCTGAAGACCAGTCTGGTTTATAAACCCAAAGCTTCCTCTGACATCCAGTTTTAGGCTCAGTCACTCCCAATGAAGTTTATGGGGCTTTACTTACTTGTTTGGGGCAGAGGATGAGGAGAGGGAATACTGCCTGAGAGCTATGAAATCATTACATGTAGCACATTTATACTTTGAGGAAGTATTTCAGTTGAATGCCACAGTAGTTCAGGCAAATTCATTTATCACCCAGTTTAAGATACTGACTGATTCCAATGACCACCCCAAAATAATAATGAAAAAGAGCTACTCCTGCCCATCACTAACATATCCAATCATTCCTATTTTGGCTTCCCTAAATACTTCAGAGGGTAACACAAGTTAGCACAAAGATGCAAAGGGTTAAGCAGCAGTCCTAATTTTTCTGTCTGTTATAATTATACACAAGAATCTGTTTTCTAAAGGACCAATATAGCATTTAGTATATAGCAGGCAGCTATCATAAACACCTCACATGCCACCCAAGTTCCAGAGTGGGGGGATAAGAGACAAAATGCCTTCAAACCAAACCCAATCCCACCATATGACACTAGAATGCTCTGTCCAAGCATGTGCCAACGAGAAATTTTGACACCTAGAGGGTATTCAAACAGCATAAGGCATAAAATAAGCAAGCACTGTGGCTGAAGAAGTAGCTTTTGATTTGTTTAGTAAACAAGTTGTCTTGTACTTTGACAAATAGCCACACAAATTCCTATTTCTTGACTCCAGGTGCAATTTATGCAACTCATGCTGACTGTCTGTTCCTCTTGGATGGATTGCATTGTACTGCCTACCTCACACAGGGCTTTTCTTGCCATGTTGCTCTAGGAGCCTTGCAAGATAGGTTAATAATCTCTAAATCTCTAGCACAGAAAAAGATGAGATGGAACAAAACAAGCAAACAAATAAACAGTTTGTTTTGCTGTAAGATGAGAAAAGTATATAAAAATTAGAATAAAATTGGTTGGGAACAGAACTGTAACTCTGTATTGCCCTCCAGAAGAAATATAAACAGAGCTCTCTGCTGATATATACTGACTGTCCAAATGGAAAATAAAGATGCAACAGCATTTTTAGGAGAAGAGGATAAACAACTCCCTGTTCTGGCTAACCATCTTTCTCCCTCTGCACAGAGAGAATGCAAAGTCATTTGTACACAGCTGAGATTGCAAGCCACAGGAGTTTCTGCATTGCCACTTAATTCACTCTCAAACTCATCCAGACAGTAGAAAGGGGCAAATAAAAAATAAATCATTCTTTTACTAAGGTGCTATTTGCAGAAAAAGGGATTAAAAAACAATTAAAGCCCCAACAAATCCCACATCTTCATTTCAGGAGGCAGGAAAACTCTGGAAAGGATCCTAATGGGACTCTCAGAGAATCTTTTGCTGAAAGAAGAACTTCAGGTTTAGGCCCCCTACGAAAGCAGCTCAGAGTTCCCCATTAAGTCAAGTTCTACTTGAGACACCCAGATGTTGAAAAACTTCAGAGTGAAAATGTAGTAACTAGCTTACCACAGAGGGAAGGAGCTGGAAGAAAAACAGACAGCCTCATCTCTGACTGGAGTTTCTCTTTCAGGAAATGAAGATCCTTACAGGGGTAAATATAGCACTTGAATTGTTTGCAAATACATCTAATCATCTAATTGCCATGTACAAGGAAAAGCTGTGAGTTATCAGAGCTCAGCACAGCCAATTACTAGAAGGCAAAAATAAAGATTTTTATCACACGTAGTGTGTGTTCTCCAGCTAGAACCCCCACCAATATTTATGCCCCTTACAGCCCTTTCTGGGTGGTTGCTGGGTGTATTTTGTGAGAAGCCTCCGGAGTGTAAACGTGCTCCCAAAAAAGCAAAGCTGGGCTGAGCTCTGCCTTGCCAATTCCAGCCCTGGAGCCTGGAGCCTGTTAACTCCCCGAGCAGCTGATCGTTAAAGACTTGTTTCCTCTTTTCTAACAATTTCCTGGTTTGCATAACAATCCTCAAAGAAACACACACAAGAAGTTTCCCAGTACTGGGATAGATTTTTTTTTTTTCCTCCAACGTACTTCTCGTTTCAAGGCATAGAAAATATTTATATGTAATTACAAGGACTTTAGAGATATATTTGTCTACAAACGTATTCACGCATAAATATGCAGCAGCTACTTGGGTTAAAACAAGATTATGATAATTTTGCCATATCCAGGAAATACAAAACACTGGCTTATGCCTGGTGCTTAACTCATGCCATTGTGAATAAAGAGGGGGGGGAGGGAAGGGGTTTAATGTTTAATTTCCTGTTAAAAACACACACAGGATAAAAATCTTCCAAAGAGCAGTTATAAAACATGTGTTTGCTAGCCAAGAAACTAGGTAAATATGGAATGAAGCCCAGGCTCACTTTTATTCCCTTCCCTCCCCTCTCCAAAGGGAAGCAACAAAGCAACTGGAGGCCATGGGGCGTATTTGGAGGCACTGGGCTCGAGATAATTAATCAGCCTGGCTAATTTCTGCCCCCTGTACCCACTGGGGGAGTTCTCCAGACAGGGCTCAGGGTGCTGTATTGCCATGGCTGCTGCACTCATGCCAAACAACACTGCAGCAGCTTCTGGCCACCTCACTGACATTACCTGGCTCAAGACAAATCAAATAAGCATTAACCTGCAGTTGGGACCATCAGCCAGGTTCTAACAACCACCACCACCTTCTGCAGGGCTGGAGACAGCACCTAAGGTTTAGATTTCTTTTAGAAGGGGAAATGTTATTGAAGGTCAGTGCTTCATCCATCCTGGAACTGCTCCTTCACCTGCAGCAGCTCAGCCCTCATCACAGCTCTACCAGGCATAATGACAGATTGGGTTATCCTGCAACTCAACACACTAGAGCTTCCAGAGAAGTACCAAATTTCTGTATAATATGTAACAATTACAGCCTTTAACAATCCCAGTTCTTCTCTTTGTGGACATGCCTGAATTAGACAAAAATATGGACCTCATTTCAGAGGAATTGAACAGTTCCAACAGTTTTTAGCAGTAACACTGTCTTTTTGGACCTTACAATAAAAATAATCCAGCAAATACTTTCTGTCTACCGTGTCAGGGTCAAAGTCAGGTCCTCAGTGCACACCCTGATGTGTGGAATGGGAGATGATGTGGTATTTCTTGTGACCTGCTGGGATTTACACTCAAAATTAGATGTCAAAAAACTCTGTGAGTGGCTTCATTTTTGTTTTGTTTTTGAAAGGAGGATAAATTTATTACTGCAGGGACAGCTTAAGAGCTTTCTTAATTCCAATTAACACAACTCAACCTTTTAAGTCGACGCACCTCAAACACCTTCCACTCATTTATTTTCATATTTGATGCAAGAAAAGGAAGGCACAGAGATTATGTATCTCTCCAGTGAATTCAATTCAATGGCAGGCAGGCTGAATTTCTTGCAGCCTCTGTGTAGCACTGGCTTTGAGACAATAAACAGTCCTGAGCTGACTTCTAAACTCTGCCCTCAACAGCTGTTGCAGGTAGTTGTGCTCTTTCCTTAAGAAACCCACCACAGTTGACCACTGATTTAATGACAGCTCATCACTGAATCTCATCACCCTACTGCAGGAGCTCAAAATCTCCCTATTTTCACCTGCTGATAACTGGACTTTCTGCCCTGATCCCATCATTCCTCATGTGAAAAAAAGACGACTGACGACATTAGGAGGGAGAGAGGGAATAGGGTGGAGAAATTCTGTAACACAAAATGAGCCCTGACTTGCCTTCTCAGTACTGTACATACCCCCAGGCAATGAAATTTCAAGAAAATGATTATGTTTCTGGCCAGCAGTCAGAAAATAGGAGATGTTATACACCCTTTACCTCACTCTGTGTTGCTACTGCAGGCTCCATGCAAAAACAAGATTTTTTTTCCCTTTGTTTCTCAACAGTAAGGCAAGTTTACAAGTATTTACTCCTAGTTACATCAAGGTATTAGAAATTCAAGTATTCTCTAGTGCAGCGACGACCTGAGCCTTTAATCCAGATGAATTTAACTGTAGAGTGCATTAGCTCTTCTCATAAAAGATCTGCTTTAATTTTAGTTCTCTCTCCATTTATCTTATGGCTGTGTAATCTTCAGTAGAGGTCAAAGAGATTTCCCCAAAGAAACAGGAGCTGCTGCTTTTTCAGAGCATATTTAAGGCTGTTCATTCTGCTTTTAAACCTGTGTCAAAAGGCCAGCACTCTCCATTCTCTGCACTCTCCTTGCTCCTTTACATGTTCCCAAGCAATTAAACAAGCATGCATGTGCAGGCACACGTGTAGAGAGATGAAACATTCCATGAAAACATCTACTGAAGATGGGATACACAGCCCATCTGCTGCAAAGACTGAAATCATTATGAACATCTTACCATCCTCTAGCTCAAGACAGAGATTGTAAACAGCCAGAGGCCTCTTAATACGTTGTCCTTGTCTTCTTGATTGCCTTGGTGGGGCATTTGGAGGAGATACTGACATGGAGATTGGCTCAGGGAAAGTGGCATCAGGCAGGGTTTTGAAAATCTGCAATCAAGAACACAAAGGGTGTTAATTATTTATCATGAGGAGCAACCTGTGCAGTGCAACTGCAAACCATTACCAAACAACATTTGTTTTGGACTTCATTCAAAGCAGGCAGGAGCCAAAAATCCATTCCTTCAAGTTTGGGAGTCTGCTGTGGGTTTTTCATGAGTGCTTTTAAAATTGATATGCTATGACATAAACATAACAATAAGCAATAAACAACAACAATAAGCACTGTCTGCACATTAACCAAGCTGCAAATCAGTTAATCCAAGGCAAAATATTTGCAGCCACACTTGCCAGCTAGGATGGAGGGAAAGGGGAAAAGGGGGAATACTAACTTTGTGAACCAGTTAGAAACTTTATAGCTTTAGCCAGGACCTATCATTTTGCCAAATAACCATTTAAATTTTTAATATCATCCATTTTAATTTAAAAAAGAAAAAAAAAAGGATACTCTCCAAGGAGAGCAAGGGGAAAATTTTGAGGGGAGGGGTTTTTAGTGAGAAATACCACAGAAACATACAGACTGAGAATTCTTCCAGTTAACTGTTGCCTATTGAGTCACATTTACATCAAATGATGATATTCACAAAGACACATATGAAGAAGATTGCATTTCTTGACACCACTTCATCTTTTGAGTCATGACCATCAGCATATCACCACTCCATCCAAAACACCATCTCATTTCTCTCTGGATGAACCAGCAATGAAGATCTGCTCCACCTGACAGCATTTCTACTTTGACTCTCACATACAGCATGCAATCCAAGATGCTGATTTACTTCTAGAAAATTATCAGTGCTCTGCTGTACAATTTAACAGCAGCCTTTACAAGTGGCCCATGGCAGGTTCACGTGAACAAATGAGCTTAATATGTATTTCATCAAGGAAAAACCAGCAGCAAAACACCACCAGCAGCTGTATAAGTAAAGCCCTGTGTCTATACAGCACCTTTCAGCAAGCACAGCAATATAGCAAGATATAATTCAACAGTATATGGTGTCCTTTTACTCTGCAACATTATATGGCCACGTTATCTGCATAGGAAATATTATGAAGGCAAGACTTTCAATGAATCTTCCAAGGAGAAGGTCTTTCTAGAGCAGAAATTCCTGCAGAAACTATTCAAAGATGCCACAAATAAGACATTTTTGGATTATTACAGCACGTGTCAGGTGCAGCATGAAGATAAAAGCCAGCCAGGCTCCTCTAGCAGGTGAGAAAAATGCCATAAGCATCCTGTGGCAAGGCACTCCAGGCATCATGGTAAAAGGATAAGAAAAAATCTTCATGCCACCATATCCTGGCCTGTTAGCCCTGAATGTTAATGCCTCTAGGAATGAGATGAGCCAGGAACCCCTGTATAAGCTGCTGAGCTTATAGCTGTTTAATCACCACTCTTGTTCTGGCAGGTAGAAGACCATGCTAGCACAAAATCATCAGAAACACCATTTTCCATGAGAACTGTAGAAAAATGATCATATTGCCAAAATTGGGCAGCAAAGGGCTGGAAGCCTAAACATGGTGTGCAAAGGAAAGCTCCAGTGGAAATATCACCCTCCTTCCCAACAGGTGAATGGTGCTGTGGAGGAGGGAAAATGATGTAATTTGAACTTCCCCATACCAATAGTCAAGAAAACTGGCTCCAAACCCTTATGGACAAGGGATGGCAAGAGAGAGGCAAAACAGTGCAAGGAACTCTCTAAAAACAAAGTGTTTAGGAAGAAGAAAGGAAGCAGTTCAACCTGGTTCTTCCCAGCACAGCCACAGCAGCACCCTCAGCCAGTGACAAAGCCCTGATTGTGCTCGGGGTGCTCCAGCCCTTTCTTGAACCCTGATGCAATCCATAATCATGAAACCTAACGAGCACCTCCATGGCGCTGGGCTGACAGTACCACACTGCCCCCTGATGTGTAAACTACAAGGCTAAATCCAGCAGGTTTAGGGATAAATATTTGCTTCTGAGAAATTCAAAAGGACCAAAACTTGAAATGTCTTTTTTTTTTTCCATGGACTAAGTGTTGCATTTGGGCTCTCTGGTAAATGAGTCTCTGCCAAGAGGGTTCAGGGTGTTGTTTACTACGGCGCCTTCTGCAGCTGTGTTTATTTGTGCAGCCTTATCCCCTCTGAAATTAAAGATCCTGAGAAGAACAAGTATTCTCCAGGAGCACTTCATCAGAGAGGAGCTTTCTGGTGTGCATTTAGGTGACTTGCACAGCTTGCAGTAAAGTTCTTCAGTGCTTTTTCCTCCTCTCTCACAAATATACTCTTCTAAAACTATTAGCATGAGAAAGTAAAAGGGAAACATGAAAGCAAAACACAATCAAGAAACCCACAAATGCAAAGCCTTGCTCAGTGATACTCAGTGCCAGACAGGCAACAGGATAATGAATTGGAGACAGATACAAATCCAAATAGATTTGTAGCAACCCAAAACCACACACACACAACATTAGAAAGCTCACTGGGGGTGGGGGATATGTAAAAGAAGCAGGAAACATCCTCCCGTGTTGCACCAAAAAGTCCATTTGAGGTCATTTTTGTTCAGTCAAGCAGTTCATACCCGTGTTCAACCCTCCTTTGGTGCTTTCTTTTTGGCTTTTCAGGAGGAAAACAAACCCCAGCACAGCCCACCCATCACCAGACCTGCTTTTTCCAGCAGCAGCCAAAGCTGCAGCTCTGACCAGGGCTTTGCAAAGGCGAGGATCTGAAAAGCAAGCAGAAGGTCAACCTCTGCCCTGGGAAGTGCACACACAGCATTCAGCTCCTCTTTCCTGATTAGCCCTTAAATAGACAAGTACTTTTCCTCGTGCCTTAATGGCTCTTTGTCTGCTGCAACGACAGAAGCACTGCAACATCTCCCTCAGAATGGAGGGAAGGAGACATGATGGCTTTTAGTTGTGGGGAGAAGAGTTTTTTGGTTTTACTCAAACCTGCTTCTAGCTTCATTAAATATTTAAGTGCCTATGAAGAACAAAAGATGCCTGCTGTGAGTGACCTGTTGTGAGCAGCACGCCGTGTAGGTACAGAGGCTGGCATCCAAAGTCATGCCCACAGGAGGTGAGCAGCTGGAATGGGGCTAAGGTTGGTGTGTTCTGGCTGACTTGCTCAGCAGCACAGGACCACACCTGACTGGGTTTCATAACATCTCCTTGCACTGCAAGCTGCTGCTATCAGATGCATGGTGAGACAACCACAGTCGGATGGACACCCTCCCATGGAAGGGCTGGAACATGCTATTTAACAGGAGATCTCTTGGCTACTCCAAAAAAAAGCCTCCCTTCAAGTATCAGTCTGATCTAGCACCATCACTCATCTGGACTGCAGAAGTTACCACATCTTAGACTGATGCCTGTGTGAAGACAAGAATGAAGACCACTCGTTGAATTACCTCATTCAAGAAGCAGTAAGATTGTACTAAACCAGCCTTAAAGTTTAAGGGCTTCACAGTCCCATTCAGTGTTACACAGTTTTTGGGATTGTGGCCAAATTGCATTAGATTTATAGAATATCAGTTCTCTGCCATTTAGTTCTCAAAAACACTGGTATCCTGCTACTGACCTACCTGGGGGCAAACTTGGAAGCTAAGAGAAACTAATTTACAAACATGAGAAGACTAACATATGAAGGAATCAAAGTTTTATCCAGCAACAGATCTGTCAGTCCTCTCCCAGTTAGGAGAGTGTTTTAAATACCTGCTGAGGTCTGAGCTCCCACAACAGCAGGATTTAAAAGTGCACGCTGGCTTAAGTAGTGGGTCAGTCTTCAAGCCTGCAGTGTAAAAGTTACACCAAAAAAGATGAGCCTCTTGTTGAGCAGTGGAAAACACTGGTGGGTGTGTGTGTGACCTGTTTCTCCCTATTCAATAACCAAACCTGGATACTTCACAAGGCTACACAACCCTCCTCAGATACACACCCCTAGTGACAGCTCTGCCTAGAGCAGCGAGCCCAAGAGCATCCCTACAACCACCCCAATTCCTAAACCTGTGTCCCACCAAGCCTGTGGGAGCATTGCAATGAGCCAAAGCCAACATATTATCACACTGTCTTCTACCAGCAGATCCACATGGCAGCAGCCCAAGGAATTTTGCCAGATTCCCCTTAATCTGCAACGACGGTGTTGGACTCTAGACCCTGAGCTCTTACTAGAGCTGATTTTAGAATTTCAAAAAAAAACCCCATGGCTGGGAGGATTTAACTTGACCTGTTCCACCAGTTTATGACTAGATGTATAGTGGTACACAGAAATGTAGATTAGATTCTGCTGCTGCTGAAGAATACTGAGCTGTTCTTTCTGGTCTCAAGCAGAACTAATTAATGAATTTCAGTATGTTTGCCAGGAATCACTGTAGAAAAAAGACCCAGACATCAGGTCATCTCTGTCTGCTTTGTATCACTGGGGTAATTAAAATTTCCTCTCAAAATCAGTGGGAGGCAAACAGCAAGGACAGAGTGGGATGAGAAAGAGGGGAGGAAAAAAAAATGGAAGCTTAGCAATAAAGCTAATGAGAGTAAACTTCTAAAAACCATTGAACAGCTGAAAGCTGAGCCATGATTTTGTTGCAGGACAAAACCTCCTTTCAGTCTGATGAACCCCACCACACATGGGGTTCATCTGTCTCCTTTCAATACATGAAGAACCACCAGGAGTAGCAGAAGTCACTCCCTGATGCAAAGGAGGCTACAACCTGCCAGGGGATTCCAAATTCTTTGAAATTCAGCTAGTGCTACAGCACCCACCACTACAATCAGATTTTTTTAGAGGACAGTATTTCTCAAGATGAGAAGAACATCCGTGCAAGGTTTTATTTGGGTAATTTCCCTTCAGTACCTCCTTGATTTGCAGTTGGTAAATAAAAGAAACACACACAAACCCTTCAACTGAGTTTATTGAGCAATATAAAATGCCATCCACCTAGGCCACATAGACTGCTCTGCCCTTATGCATTTTATGGCCATGGTGCTCATCTTTCCATGACAATTGGCTATAAT